GTATGCCAGGGATGCATCCTATTTCCTTACCTTTTCAGTTTATATGGGGAATATATATGCAGAGGCTAGACTCTATGAGGAGGAATGTGGCATCAGGAATGGAGGAAAATTCATCAACAATGTGCATTATGCAGATGACACAACTTTTCTTGCTGAAACTGAGGAGGACCTGAGGCATGCACCAAGGTCAAAGACTGAAGCCTGAAATATGGATTGAAGTTTGTTGTTTTTGTTGTGCCATCAACTCGCCTGCGACTTATAGTGACCCTATGTACAACAGACCTAAACTCTGCCCTATCCTGTGCTAATCTCACCATCTCTCACAAACCTGCCCCCAGCATTACCTCAGTCACTGAATCAATCCATCTCATCAAGAGTCTTCCTCTCCTGCACTGTCCCTCTACTCTCCCAAGTATGAAGTCCCTCTCCAAGGACTGGTCCCTCCTTGCAACATGTCTAAAGTATGTCACACGAAGCTTCAGAAGGAACAGCCCGGCTTCACCCTCTACAGGACAAATCTGTTCGTTTTCCTAGCAGTCCATGGTACATTCAATACTCTTCTCCAACACCACAGCTCAGAGGCATCAATTCTCCTTCTATCATACCTAGTTATTGTCCAGCTCTCTGATGCAAAGCAAGTGATTACAAAGACCATGGCATGTATCATGTGCCCCTTAGTCTCCAGACTGACATCTTTACACTTCAGCAGTTTAGAGAGGTCTCTGACCACAGACTTTCCCATCGCAATATATATGTCTTTTCATTTCCTGGCTGGTGGTGCCAAGAGTGTTGACTGTGGAGCCACGCAGTGAACAATCTCTGTCTCTTCACTATCCATTATGATGTTGCCAGTTGGCCTAGTTGTGAGAATCTTTGTTGTCTTGATATTGAACCTCAATCTATACTGAAGACTGCAGTCCCTGACCTTCCACAGCAAGTACTTCAGGTCCTCTTCAGTTTCAGCAAGCAAGGTTGTGTCATCTGCATAATGCAGATTGTTGATGATTCTTCCTCTAATCCTGATGCCACATTTCTCCTCATAGAGCCCAGCTTCCCAGATAACTTGTTCTGCATAAAGATTGAAAAGGTATGGAGACAGGATACAGCCCTTGCGTACGTCCTTCCCAATTTTGAACCATGCAATGTTTCCTTGCTCTGTTCTGATGACTGCCTCTGGTCCAAGTATAGGCTTCTCATTAGCACAATCAAGTGTTCTGGGATTCCCATTCTTCTCAGAGTTAGCCACAGTCTGTTATGATCCACACAGTCAAATGCATTTGCAAAATCAATGAAACAAAGATAGACATCAATAAAATATTTTCACCACTGGGCCAATTAGTAGCTTCATGATAGGTGGTGAAGAGATTGAGGTTGTTAACAACTTCAGCTTGCTTGGCTCCACAGTCAACACTTTTTATATCAGCTTCCAGAAAGTAAAAATATGGATTGCATTGGAAAAATATGCTGTCAAGGACATCTCCAGAATACTGTAAGAGCAAGAATATCACTCTAGAGACTAAGGAGCACCTGATCCAAACTATGATCTTTGCAATTGCTTGATGTACGTCAGAGATCTGGCCAATGACTCAGGATGATAGAAGAAAAATTGATGCCTTTGAGTTGTGGTGCTGGAAAAGAGTATTGAATATACCATGGACTGCTAAGAGAATAGGTCTAAAGAAGGTGAAATTAGATTACTCCTTGGAGGCAAGAATTTTGAAGCTTCATCTGACATACTATAGGCATGTTGCAAGGAGGGACCAGTCCTTGGAGAGGGACATCATGCTTGGAAGGGTGGAGGACACCTCAAGAAAGAAAGACTCTCAATGAGATGGATTGACTCAGTGACTTGGTTGATGGGGGTGGGTGTGTCAGACAATTAAATTGGTACAGGATAGAGCAGGGTTTGGAGCTGTTGTACATAGGATCGCTAGGACTCAGAGTTGACTCGATGGCACATGACAACAACAACAGTAACATTCTTCTACATATTTGGCAGCTGACTCAGAAAACAAAACAAACAGAAGTCTCACTGATAGGATTTCTGGTCCTTGTGGTGTAAATTTCTATTATAGAAACTTTTGAGCTCCAGCTGGACACCACTGAACACAAAATTGAGAAGAGATGTGCATATCAGTTTTTAACAATATTTAGTCTAACAATATCTAGAATTCCTGCTTTAATTCTAGGATAGAAATTTTGGCATAGTGTTTATAAGCTGTCATTTGTGTGAAAAACTTGATCCTGAGTCAATTCTAGTCAACGTTGCTGTTTATTCAGAACTGACTCATAGCTGAACACCCAGCAGGGTTTCTGAGGTAGTAAATGACATGGGAGGAGATCGCCTATCTTTATCCCTACGGGCACCTGGTCAATTCAAATCTCCAGAGAAGTTCTGTACTTTAAAATTAAATTTGTATAGTCTAGTATTCCTATTCATTCTCTATATAGCAGTCATGTGGTTAGCAGCAAAATTCTCTATAGTCTACAACCTTGACTGGCACTATTAAAAATTTTGAATGCTCTGCGTTGCAATCTGGAAGGCGCACGGTCCGAATTCATTAGATGTTTCACTAGAGAAGGGTGGGTATTTTCCTCCTGTGCCTGTCATATCTGACTAAATGTCACGCAACAAGAAAAAAGAATAATTTTGAATGTTGGAGTAGGTGCTTCAGCTTATGTGGAAAATAAATCAATATAAGGTAGAAAAGTCTAGAGTGATCATCTGAAGTATATAAACTCTAGACTTGGTTTTTTGTTATTGTTGTTGTTTGAATCAACACCACCTACACAGCATGGTGCAGTTGTTGGATATGATATAATTATTACAGAGAATGAATGGGAATACTAGATTAAAAAATTTAATTTTTAAAAATACAGGAAATCTCATGTACATAGTCAACATAATGTACTAGCATATACAACATCCCATATAGTTCTAAAATTTTAGAATACTTATTTCCTCCCTCTGCACCCAATTGCCTGGATTAGTTACTTGATAGAACTACATTTTTAAAAACTTGAAATAAATATATTTCAGTATAGTTTTTCTTCCTCAAATTCCTTCACTTGCCTTCTATAAAAAACCTGCATCTGATTTTTTTCTTGTTGTAATGTGCCATCAAATCACCCATGACTTAGTGACCCTGTGTACAATAGCTCTGAACCCTGCACTATCGTGAGCCAGTCTAACTGACTCTGACACACCTAACCCAATACCTCAGTCACTGTGTCATTCTGTCTCATATGGGATCTTCCTCTTCTGGGCTATCTCTCCATCCTTCCAAGCATGATGCCCTCCAAGAACTGATCCCTTCTGGCCATGTGCCCAAAGTATGTGAAATGGAGCTTTAAAATCCTTGCCTCCAAGGAGAAACCTTGTTTCACCCTCTTCAAGATGGACCGATTTGTTCTTCTGGTAGTCCATCGTGTGTTCAGTACTCTTCTCCAGCACCACAATTCAAAGGCATCAATTCTTGTGCCATCCTTAGTCATTGTCCTACTCTCTGATACATAGCAAGTAAACATGGCCTGGATCAGGCACATGTTAGACTCTAGACTGACATCAGTGCTCTTTAGCACTTTGGAGAGGTCTGTTACAATGGATTTTCCCTATTGTGATTCATCTTTTGATTTCTTGACTCCTGGTTCTAATGAGTAAGCAAGTAAATGCGTAAGCAGAAATAATTAACAATCTCAATCTTTTCTCCATCTATCGTGGTGCTTCCAATTGGCCCAGTGGTGAGAATCTTTGTTGTCTTGATGTTGACTTTTAATCCATATTGAATACTACAGTCCTTAACTGCAGCAAACACTTCAGGCCCTCCTCAATTTTGGCTAGCAAGGTTGTGCAATCTAGTAACACAGGTTGCTGATGAGTCATCCTCCAATCCTGATGCCATACACTCCTCAGAAAGTCTCACCTCCCGAATGATCTGTTCTACTTACAGATTGAAAAAGTATGAAGACAGGATACATCCCTGACACATTCCTTTCTTGATTTTGAACCATACAGTATTTCCTTGCTCTGTTTTGAGGACTGCTTCCTGGACCACATATATACTTTGCATGAGTACAATTAATTGTTTTAGGATTCCCATTCTTCACATATAAGCTTAAATATTTTTCTTATTCACATAAACATTGACCCCCTTTTACACATGATATTTTAATTTCTTCTCAATTTGGCCCTAATCCCTACCTTTACACTTTCCTCTTTTTCATATGCACCTCAACATTCACTCCCAACCATGCCCTTCCACCCTATGCTTTAACTACACTAACCTATTTATGTTTTCATTTATTTTGGTAGTCTTATCTCAATTGATACTCTTTGGGATGCCCTTTAATGACTCCTTTTAGGTAGAATACATCATCTCTGTATTCCTAGAAGATATTGTCCACATTTCAGTTACTGTACATTGCACAGTTATCTTTGTATATCCACTACTAACAATGGGCCTGGGATAATGTGTTTCCTATTGAAACCAACAATTTGAATGCTATTTGCAAAAGATGAAAAGGATTCTGTGAAATACTTGGAAAATTTTATTGAAGCCTAGTGTGAGAAATATTTTATACTGTTACTTTTTTTTATTACCTATCATCTTTCCTCCTTGCAAAAGTTGATGTTTTTTTAAAATTGTTCTTTTTATTGTGATTTTAATGAAAGTTTACAAAAATGATGGGTTTTCATTCATTCACTAATGCGCATTTTCTCCCTCCCTTTCCCCTTTCCCTTTTCTCTTTCATGTTGTAATGCATGTTAATTGTCTTACATAATCATACACTTAGATAGAATTTTGGAGAATCTGATGGATTTCAAACATCAGTGTTTTTATTAGCAGCCCAAAATGCTATGCACCACAATATCAGAATTCCTTTTTTTAAGATTAGAAAAATTTTTTAAAAAGCTAGTTTTAGAATTCTAGTTTTAGCTTTGTTTGACACATTAAATACATTTATGATTAAATAGATTTATTTTTCCTTTTAAATCCTAGGAATTATCAATAATAAAGCAGGAGATAAGAGAAAAAGAAAATTTTGTTAAGGAAAAGATCAAATTTTTGGAGAATGAGATTGGGAATAACACAGAGTATGAGAAAAGAATTTCCGCTGCTGAACGTAAAGTGCTGAAATGTAGAAGAGACTATCAGCACAGTGAAGCTAATAAAACTCAGCTGAAAGATGAGGTATAATATCACTTAAAATGGTTTGTGGGTTCATAATAAATCCATATCAGAGTAAATATAGAAACTTTCTTTGGATTAAGGAATTGCATTCTGATTGTTTTTGTTTGTTCATTTCTTTGTGTTTAGGAATTGAGATTAAGCTTCTCATAGTGAAAGTAGTGGCAGGTGTCATGAAGGACTCCACTGGAGTTGTTCAGTGTCTCCCTGCCTGCCACATGTGGAGCCCTGGGAGGGACCCCAGACTCAAGAGTCTCAGTGGCAAATATAATGACAAGCAAACACCCAGATGCAAAGTTGTGTATTGACACAGTATTATCAGAAACAACTTGGAGGCTATGTTTTCAGTACTACATTAGTGTGTATGGTTTTAACTCTCAGCTTCTTGGTGGAGCACTCCCTACTTGAGTTTAGTGTCTGCTAAGTGATGAACTATCTAGAAGCAGGATTAGAGAACAAAATTCTCCTTCCTGATTCTTTTCTTTATTTTGATAGTGTACATGCCCGCTGAGGTTTTCCATGTTGTCATGTGCGATGGAGTTGGAGCAACTCACAGCTGACCCTCCAGTGGGCTTTCCAAGGCTTTAAATTGCATGAGAGGATTTACTCATCTTTCACTCACAAAGCAGATGGTTGATCTAAATTGTGAGCCTTAGAGTTAGCAGCACAACTTCTTACAACTAGGCCACTAGAGTTAAGAAAAAGAATAAGTTACTCCTTTAATTAGCTATGAAGGTTACTTAGGAAATTTTTGTTCTAAAGATATATTATCTAAAGTAACTACTCTGTAGCCAAGAAATTGAAATGCTATAGAACATTGAATTTTATAAGATATTACATAAAAAAAACATCTAACCGAAGAAAAGACTGACTTGGTTTTTTATTAAAAAAAAAAAAAAAAAGCATAACTACATGCGACCCTAAAAGTTTTTTTCTTATCTGAGCAAATGATTTGAGAAGCTGGATCCTATGAAGAGGAATGTGGCATCAAGATTTGAAGAAGACTCATCAATAACCTGTGTTATGCAGATGACATAATGTTGCTTGCTGAGAGTGAGGAGGACTTGAAGCACTTGTTGGAGAAGATCAAAGAAAACAATCTTCATGGATAGGCCAAAGTAACCAGAAACAACAGAGAGAAAAAAAAACCCCACACACAGCAAAATGGCAAAGACAAAACCTGGCCCGTCAATAATCACATTTAATGCAAATGGACTAAATATAACAATTAGGAGAGAAAGAATAGCAGAATGGATTTTTTTAAAGCCCATCAATATGTGTTTCATGACACATCTAAAAACTGACAAGGAAGATAGACTCAAAATCAAGGCTGGAGGAAAAATACTAAGCAAATACCAGTCACCAAAAAAATGGAATGGCAATACTAATTTCTGATAAAATAGACTTCAGGATGAAAACTACCATAAAAGATAAGGAAGGGGACTACTGTGTAATGACTAAAGGCAAAATAGATCAAGAATACATAACTATGGTCAATATCTATGCACCAAATTATAGGCCTCCAAAATACACAAAACAATGTTTAACAGAATTGAAGAGAGAAATAGATAACACCACAATAGTGGTAGGAATCTTTAACACAACAGTCTCAAGAGAGACTAGATCAACTCAAAAGAAACTTAAACTTAGCAAAGATGCAGAAGTTCTAAACCATACAATTAGCCAATTTGACATTGTGGATGTATTCAACTAAAACTCCATCCTCTTTTTTCTCACGTGTACATGGTATGTACTCCAGAATTGATCATACATTAGAAAAAAAAGCAAGCTTTAACAAATTAAAAAATATTAGAATAATACAAAGTATCTTCTCAGACCACAGTGCCATAAAAATAGTAATTAGTGACAAGACGATAAAGCTCTAAAACCACACATGTAGAATCTAAATCCTTCTAGAATACTATTGGGTTATAGAAGTAATAAAGAATAAAATAAAAAAGTTCCTTTAAACAAATGATAATTAAAATACAATGTACCAAACCCTTTATACCTAAGGCAGTCCTCAGGAGGCACTTCATAGCAATAGGAAAATACTTAAAAAAGAAAGAAAGAAGCAAAATCAGTGATCTAACTCAACACCTATATCAAATAGATAAAGAACAAAAATCTAATGCCACTGAATATAGAAGAAAAAAATTTAAGGACAAGAGTGGAAATCACTTAGATAGAAACAGAGAAACAATTGAAACCATCAACAAGACCGGGAGCTGGTTTTTTGAGAGGGTCAATAAAATTGACAAACCATTGGTGAACTTAACAAAAGAGCAAATTATAGAAGTGGCATCAAAACAGTTCTAGATGAAATTAAGTCAATAATATCAGCATATTATGAAAAGCTATACTCTGACAAGTTTGAAAGCCTAGAGAAAATGGACAAATTCCTTGAAACCCATGGCCTACCCAGATTGGCATGAACAGATGTAGAACACTTGAACAAACCCATCGCAAAAGAAGAAATTAAGGAGATCATAAAAAGACTCCACCCAAAAAGAGCGCTGGACTAGATGGCTTTGTAGCTGAATTCTACCAAACATTCAGAGATGATCCATCACCAATCCTACTTAAAAAATAGAAAAATCCTATTTAAAAAATTAGGAAAAGAAGGAACACTCCCAGAGCCATCCTATGAAGCAAAACCAAAACCAAATCCCAGTAAAGATATTACCAAAGAAAAGAATACTACAGATGAATATCTCTCATGAACACAGATGCAAAAGTCCTTAACAAAATCCTAACCAATAGAATCCAAAAGCACATAAAAAAATTATTAATCATGACCAAGTGGAATTCATAACAAGTATGCAAGGATGGTTCAACATAAGATAAACAACCAGTGTAATTAATCATATCAACATAGCTAATAACAAGACCTCAAGATCATAGCAATTGATGCAGAAAAGGCATTTGACAAAATCCAACATTTTTGCCTACTGAAAACACTCAGCAAAATAAGAATAGAAGGGAATTTCATCATTGTGAAAAAAATATATATGCAAAACCAAGAGCAAATATCATTCTCAATGGAGAAAGATTAAAAGTATTATACTGTGAACAGGGACCAGACAAGGATGCCAAATGTCACCACTCTTATTCAGTATTGTATTGGAAGTACTTGCTAGGGTGATACAAGAAGAGAAGTAAATAAAAGGCATCCAGAATGGCACAGAGATGGTTAAACTGTCACTATATGCAGATGATATGGAAGTGTGCACAGAAAAACCCAAGCTAAAAAAGAAAAAAAAAAACCACCCCAAAAAACTGTTAGAACTAGTGGAACAATTTAGTAGAATGGCAAGTTAAATGACCAGTATAGAAAAGTCAGTGAGATTCTTCTACTGTAATAAAGAAAATACAGAGAAGGAAACCAAGAAAGCAATGCCATTTACATTAGCTTACATTCAACAAAACTTTGCTTCTCAATAATTACACTGAATATGAATGGTTTAAATGCATCAGTGAAGAGAAAAAGAGTAGCAGATTGGATTAAAAAACAAAAAACCCATAAATATGCTGTCTACAAGACATCTAAAAAGTGGAGATAAGGAAAGACTGAAAAGGATAAGGAAAAATATTTCAAGCAAATGGCAACCAGATTAAAGAGCAGGCGTAGCAATACTAATCTCTGATGAAATAGATTTCAGTGTAAAAACCATCACAAAGGACAAGGAAGCTTACTATATAATGCTAAAAGAGTCAATATAATAAGAGGACATAACCATAATAAATATCTATCAGCCAAATGATAGAGCTGAAGAATATACAAAGCAAATGTTAACAGATCTGAAAAATGACATAGACACCACTACTATAGTAGTAGGAGACTTCAATATACCAATCTCAAGAAAAGATAGAACTACCAGAAAGAAACTCAACAAAGATGCTGGATAATTACATCACACAATAAAGCAACTCAATATCATAGATATATACAGACTCATACACCCTGAAAAACCTGAGTAAACATTCTTCTCCAATGTGCATGGAACATTTCCCTGAATAGATAATATTTTAGGTCACAACGCAAGCACCAATAAATTAAAAACATAGAAATAATAGAAAACATTTTCTCAAACAACAAAACTACAAAATTAGAAATCAATAACAAGAAGATGAAGGAGAAAAACCCTACACATTTGGAAGCTGAACAACACCCTGCTTGAATATGAGTGGGTAATAGAAGAAATAAAAGATGAAATAAAAAAAAGTTTCTTGAAATAAATGACAATACAAACACAATTACCAAAACCTCTAGGAAATAGCCAAAGTAGTAATCAGAGGTCAATTTCTAGAAACAGGCAATCACCTCAAAAGAGAAGAAAATATGATAATTGATTTTCTAACCCAACATCTGCAACAAGTTGAAAAAGAACAGCAAGAAAACCCATCAACCTTGAAAAAAATGAAATTATAAAAATTAGGGCAGAAATAAATGAAATAAAAAACAGAAAAACAATTGAAACCATCAACAAGACCAGGAGTTAGGTCTTCGAAGAGGTCAATAAAATCGGCAAACCACTAGAAAAACTAAGAATGGAAAATAAAGTAAGGACACAAATAATCTGAATAACAGATGAGAGTGGTTATAGTAAAACTAACTGAAAAGAAAGAATTGGCAATGAAATATTATGGAAAAAACAATGTCCAAATAAATATGAAAGTCTAGAGGAAATGGACAATTACTTAAAAACTCACAATCCACCCAAACTGACGGAATGAAGCAGAACATCTGAACAGATCCATCACAGAAGAAGAAATTGTACAGGTAATAAAACAACTTCAAATAAACAAACAAAAAAAGTTTCAGACCAGATGGTTTTACTAACAAATTTTATCAATACTAGAGAAGAACTGTCACCAATTCTCCCAGACCCATGCTATGAAGCAAACTTATTCTTGATACCGAAGAAGGTAAAGACACCACCAAAATAGAAAACTATAGGCCAATATCTTCCATGAGTATAGATGCAAAAATCCTCATTAGA